CACACACACAGTGACACACGCACACACACACAGTGACACACACACACTAGCCGCGCCCCCGTGTGAGTGGATGTATTGCTGTGATCAGTTCCCGGGCTGTTCTGGCTGATGAGGCAGGACTCACTTGAGATGAGGAACAGGATTCCAGCAGCAAGCGTGTGGTTAAACCTCTCAAAGAAGCTGAATTGAGCGAAGGCGAGAGCTCCCGCAATCAGACCGGCGAAACACGACATCGCAGCCAGGATCATAAACGCCCTGGTCGCATTCCAATAGGCTGTGTAGGGACGGGAGGGGGTACGGGAGAGGGCGAAGGCGGGGAGGAGAGTGAGGGGTAGTGGGGTAAGGGGGGAAGAGGGGAGGGGGAAGGGAAGGAGAGGAGAGAGGGGCACAGGGAGAGGAGGGGATATGGGAGAGGGGGAAGTGGGGGAGGAGAGAGAGCGGTAGGGCATAAGGGGGGAAGAGGGGAGGGGGAAAGGATGGAGAGGGGAGAGAGGGTAGGGGAGGGGGGAACACCAGTGGGATAGGGGGTTAGGGTAATGGGGAGAGAGTGGGGAAGAGAAGGGAGGGTACAGGGAGAGGAGCGGAGGGGAAAGGGAGGCGAGGGGAGAGACCAGGAAAAGGGAGAAGAGAGAAGGGGAGAGTGTGGTGGGAGTGTAGTGAAGAGTGGGACAGAGTTGGATGCAGGAGAAAGGGAAGGGAGGGGAGAGTGTGAGAGATGTGCAGTGAGACAGGAGAAGATAGAAGCAACAAGAGAGAGGTTAGACACAACGCAGACCATAATTTCGATAACAAAAATCTCTCAGTTTCACTCTGTATCTAACCCCATGCTGCCCCTGTCCTGGGAATGTTTGATGGGGACAGTGTAGAGGGAGCTATACTCTGTATCTAACCCTGTGCTCTCCCTGCCCTGGGAGTGTTTGATGGGGGACAGTGTAGAGGGAGTTTTACCCAGTAGCTAACCCCTATCACACACACGCCATATCTTTTGGCCTCGTCAAAGGTTATGCTTATATGGGATGGAGAAACATGGTGGCCATGATAGAATGGTGGAGCAGATTTGATGGGCCACATGGCCTAATGCTGCTCCTGTATCTTATTTTTTATCTTTATTCATTAACGGGATGAAGGCATCGCTGGCCAGGCAGCATTTATTGCCCATCCCTGATTGCCCAGGGGGCAGTTAAGAGACAACCACATTGCTGTGGGTCTGGAGTCACATGTAGGCCAGACCAGGTAAGGATGGCAGTTTCCTTCCCTAAAGGACATTAGTGAACCAGATGGGGTTTTCCGACAATTGGCAATGGATTGATGGTCATCATTAGATTCTTAATTCCGGATATTTATTGATTTCAAATCTGGCATGGCATTAAACCCAGATCCCCAGAACATGCCCTGGGCCTCTGCATTAACAGTCCAGCGATAATACCACTACACCATTACCTCCCCATCTTATGGTGTCATATCTTGTACACCGATACTCATGCACACATTCTCATACATGCACACTCACATGTACACGCTGCCACATATCCACACACACACTCACTCACACGCACTCTCACACTCTCTCACATTCACACACACACACACTCTCACAAACACACTCACACACTGTC